GAGCTTGAGGCTCTGTCTCAAAAAAAAAAAAAAAAAAAAAAAAAGAACTGGGCCGTGGGACAGGGGGGCAAGTGGGTTTGAATCCTAGGATCCTCTTTGTGGCTATGCTGTCCTGAGTGAGGGTAAGGCCCTTTGTTTCTGAGTCTCTATTTTGTCATCAGTAAACAAGGCACTAAAACTTTTTCCTGCATCATAGGGGATAGGGCAGCAGGTCCGGTGAGTGGGTGCTCATCCAAGGAGCATGGTCACTGGACATATCCTAACAGCCATGCCCTGCCCATCCCCAAGCCTGGCCTGCTTAGCTCAGCTACATTTTGACACTGAGACCGCAGAGACAGAGAACTGCCACCCTTTGGCACTGGCCTGGGGCCAGGGTAGATGAAAGGGTTGGCCTTACCTTGGAAGTGAACGTAGGTGTTGAAGAGCAGGGTGCTGTCTGCTTGGACTCCCACCACACTGCTTATCTTCTGCCCTGTCACAGCCTGCATGAACCTGTCTATTTCTGCAGCTGCAAGATCTGGGTCTGAGGAGAGGTCTACAGAGCGAGGGAGGACAATGGGGGTGAAGAGATCCAGGCTCTGAATGAATGTTTGCTTCAGACGCAGGCTCGGGTCAGTGAACAGGCCCACCACTGTGGACAGCAGCAGCCGGGCCTGGCCATCCGCCCTGCCCTGGGCCACCAGCAAGCCCTGGATGGCCTGCAGGGCAGACAAGACCTTGTGCCCATCCAGGCGGGAGGTGCAGTCCTCATCCTCCCCTGGGACACCCAGGAGTGCCTGGAGCCTATGGGCTGTGGGGTCCATTGCTCCCAGGTAGAAAGAGGCCAGGGTGCCAAAGAGAGTCGTTGGGGAGAGCACGCCAGTCCCACCAGCCCCACCAGCCCCACCAGCGGTGTTCCACATGTCACTCAGTGCCTTGTACATGCGGAAGCCTAGGAAGTTAGCCAGCATCCCGACCATGGTGGCCCTCTGCTTGTCCTCAGCCTCCAGCTTCTCCACGGTCAGCACCAGTTGATGGCGCAAGGCCTCCTCATCCACCTGGGCTGTGTTGGCCTGAATTGGGATGGGTGTGAAGGTCGGTTCTTTGAGTGTCTCTGCATTAGATTTCTCCAGCTGCTCACAGCTGCTCTTGGTGTAGACAAGGAGATGGAAGGGGTGTATGTACACACGGTCTCCAGCAGCCAGGCCAACCCAGGCCACAAGGCAGAGGACAGTGGCCCTCAGGGCTATGCCAGCAGGAGCCATCTCTGACCAAGGCACTTGCTCCTGAATACTCTGAAATATCATTTTGGGAAGGGGAAAAGGTGGTTAATAAGTAACCGCTAAGAGCCCTCTAGCCAGACTTCCAGTCATTCCACTGTCCCCTGTACCACTCAGCCCAGTAGAAATCCATCATGCTACGAATAATGAAGAGAGGAAATGGGGGCAAAGCTCCATGGAAAATGTCTGACCCAAGTGCAAAGTGCACTGTTACAGGATGAATCATGTCCCCTCTGCTCCCTTACCTCACAAAATTCGTAATGTAGAAGTCCTAGTCCTCAGGAACTCAGAATGACTATAAGGGAGATAGGACCTTACAGAGGGGTTAAATTAGAATGAGGTCATTAGAGTGGGCCCTGATTTACTGTGACCAGTTCCCTTTTCAGAAGAGGTGATTAGGACACTGATACACAGAGAGTTGAACACACAGGGAGAAGACGGCCATCTGCAAGCCAGGGAATGAGGCCTCAGGACAAACTGACCCTGTCTACATCTTAATCTTCTGTTTCTAGCCTCCACAACTGTGAGACAGTTAATAAACTTCTGCCGTTAAAGCTCCAAAGTGTGTGGCACTCTGAGCAGACTGTGGCATCCACCCATGACTGTAAGTTCCCCTTTGGGACTCAAGCCTGTGCTGGTCCCTAGGTGTTTGTGGAGGCCTCCCACTCCTTGAGATGATAAATAAATGACCTTATGGCGTGGCTTGGAAATGCGCTTTTTACTTTCCAGGACTTGGCCAGAACTTCCCTTGTGTCCCAACCCCAAACCAACTCCCAACTTTTCCCACATGGCATAGCCCCAACATGGAGTGACAACCCCACCCACCTGAGGTATGTCCGACACCAGGCAGCTTCCTATACCAGGGCCTGGTGTAGATGGGTTTTTTGGAAACTTCTCAGGTCACTCTGACATAGAGCTAGATTTAGATCCTCTGCTCCTCTCTGCCTCAGGCACAGGTCACCAGGGTGGGCCGGGGAGTTCTGGCACCTGCTCCTTGGTAGCCCACTTCCCTAGCCTGCACTGTTCCTCACAGCACAACAGGGTGGAGCCCAGGAGCCCAGGAGGGAGGGTGCTTGGCAGCCCCACTAATTTGTCCCATCTGACTCTGCTCCCTGGAGGGATGAATGCTCATTGCCTTGGTTCCTTCAATTTGTTTTTATTAAGTCATTCGATTTGTGCCTCGTCTCACTCATTTCCTATACAGGGGTGGACTGCAATACTGGTCACTTCTTAGCTTTCCCGTCCCCTGCCTCTCTCTTCACCCTGGCCCCCTGTACTAGTCAGGGCTTTCTTGGAGCTGTGGTCCAAGGCCTGATCAAGGCCATCTTGGTGTCTAGATTGTCCTGTCTCCTCTGAACACACACAGCCACTTCCCTTGCACTGCACCAGGCTAGTAACCTGTACTTGCCCTCAACATCGTGCAACAGCTCAAATGCACGGTGCGCTTTGTGCTGCTCTGGGGACTTTGGCTTCTGACCTCAACCACAGCCCCACCTGCCCTCCCCACCATTCGACTCCATCCATGATTCTCATGCAAAGTCATGAGAAAATCCCCCTCCTCCTTGCAGGCCTTTCTGTTCGGACAAGCCTAGGTTGGCAGTTCATGCCTGATCAGGACAGCCAAAACAGGTCCTGCAGCAGGGGAAACCTATGGGAACCAATTGTGGTGGCGGGGCGGGGCAGGGGGTGTTAACCTAATAGGCACCCCCAGGCCTGGGTTTGGATGATACAGGTAGCTGTGGCCCAGTCCCTCTGTCTTGCTCCAGTGTATACCAGTTATAGGTGTGTAGGTAGCAGGGTCTGGAGTGTGACGTGCTCGGTGTGGCATGCCTGACCCCTTCCTGCCTTTCCCCTCCTTCACCCCTCATTCCCAGCCTCCCCTGCTCTTTCTCTTTCCTTCTTGTGGCTCCTAAAGGCTGATGGTGAAGGTGAGAGCTCATGCTTCTGTGACTCCTGCCACTCAGGGGGCACTCCTCTGAGTACTTTTCTTATATCAATCTGCCTGGTCTTCACAACAGCCCTCCTCTCCCCCCTGCAATGTTCCCTGCCAGGCTGGGTCCTGCTAACTCTCAGCCTGCTCAGGTCTATCCCCCTGTTAAGGTCTGCATGCCCAGCTGGGTGTTGGCTGTGCTCCGGGTTGCTTCTGCTTCTTCCCATGCAAATATGAGGCCCTTGAGGGCAGGTTCGTGTCTTTGATTTCCCTGAGGCAGCCACATTCCCGAGAGAGTACCTGGGACATAGTAGGTCCTGGATACGTGGGTGTCAAGTGAATTAGTTGATGATATTTTGCAGAGGAACAGAGAGGTACAAGGACTCACCTGAGATCACACAGTGAGTAAGAGCCAGAACTCAAACCAATATCTGACCCCCATAGTCTGATTTGTTGTCCACATGCTTAAGCCCCAATCTATACTGCCGTGAAAAAATAAGAATATACCTTTTTAGCTTATAGTGAAGTTTAGAAACACCTTATGTTATATTAGTTCTCTTAAGCTACACCACAGCACATGATAGAAGGGGCCTGGGCATTGCTATTAGTCCTGTTTTATAGATGAACAAATGGGCAGAGCCAAGTAGCATGTCTCAAGGGAAGGCAGGCTGATTACCTGACCCAACCTGCCAGCCTCTGCTTGCTCCGGCCTTGCTATTCCTTCTTACAGGAAGAGGGCCTGGTGGACTCGTGGCCACCGTGACTCTGCTCCTATGCCTAACCCTCCATCCCAAGGGTCTCCTGAGGGAGACAGGGAGAAGGGGCTGAGTGGGCTCCCACCTTACCTTCCACTGTGGTCCACAGGACAAAGCAGCCTCTTCCCTGGCTGGGCCACCGAGGCCCTATTTATATCCGAGGGGTGGAGATGGAGCTGTTCCCAGGCCATTCTGTGCACAGGCTGGGCGGGAGGCACTTGCACCACTTGGCCAGACCACAGGCCTCCGGGAGGACAGATGCCAGAAGCAGTGATCACCCTGGGACCCTTTCCAGGATGTCATGCTGATCGATGCAGCTTCATTGCTGAACAGAGTGAGCGGCGCTGGCTGGGTTACTCATTTACGGAAGTTTGCTGGAGTGAAGGCCGCTGTTACCGGACATGGGAGCGTCCCCTTTGTTGTGTGACGATGGCCTGAGGCCAACTGCCTAGGCCTTCTGACCCTTTGTGATGTTCTTTTTAGAAGCCACAGGATGGGCTGGCTTGAAGGGGGGCAGAGGGAGCACCAGGGGCAGAAGAGCTGAGTTCATGCTTTGACTCAACCCCAAACATGAGACCTTGGGAGGCTCCTAACAGCCATCAGGCCCCTACCCCATGCACTGGGAGAAACATACCACCAGGCAAAAAGCACCTTCTGGAAACTTCCAATTTAGCTGTGGAGACAGATAAATAGCAACCACAGTATGGCCAGGTTGAAAGACACAAACAAAATGCTTTCAGGCTATTGAAAGGAGGAAGGACTGGAGAAGGATTCAGGGAGCAATGTTACCAGAGCCACACCTTGAAGCATAAGCATGTTTCACTTAGAACTCAGAGGCGCTTTTGGGGGGAGAGGCTTGGGTGACCCTCAGAAAGGGAGGAAGCATGTGTGGTGGCAGCAAAGACCAGGCCAAATTGCTGCCGCTGCTGCCTATGTCTGCCACCAAGGGACAGTAGCAAAGTTCCGTGTTGTGTACCCTTTTCTACTGAGCCTGTGGGACCCAGAGTGCCAGGCCAAACTCTGGAAGGAAGCCTGCTCAGCATCCTGATTTGGGGTGTGCGGACTTTATGACAGAAGCGCTTGGACACCACACTTGGGAGGAAGCACGGAGGCCTCGCAGGGTGGGACTGAAGGTGTCTGAGTAGTGGAGTGAGGCAGTGGCATGAAGCCAGAGCTCTGATTGAAAAATTGCTCACAGAGTGATGTGGTGAGAGGTAGCCTGGAGTGAAAATGCAGGAAGGCCTGGCCATCAAGGTACCAACATCAGTAATTAAGAACTTTTTTTTTGAGGCAGAGTCTCACTATGTTGCCCTCGGTAGAGTGTTGTGGTGCCACAGCTCACAGAAACTTCAAACTCTAGGGCTTAAGTGATTCTCTTGCCTCAGCCTCCCAAGTAGCTGAGACTACAGGTGCCTGCCACAACGCCTGGCCATTTTTTTTTGTTACAGTTGTCATTGTTGTTTAGTTGGCCCAGGCTGGGTTCGAACCTGCTACCTTTGGTGTATGGCCATAACCACTGTGCTACGGGTGCCAAGCTGAGGTACCAACATCAGAAACTGAGAGCAGAAGGGAGCCCATAGCCAACAAGGGACACAGGAGGTAGAAGACCTTGGAAGGTTCTATGGTTTGGGGATGATTTGTTGAAATCTGACCCCCAGCATTGGAGTGAGGCCTGGTAGGAGGTGTTTTTGCTCTGGGTGGATCTCTCATGAGGGGCTTGCTGTGTTTCTGGGGTACTGAGTGAGTTCTTACTCTTAGTTTCTGAATGAGATGATTGCTAAAAAGAACCTGGTGTCTCCTCCTCTCTCTGACTTCCTCTCTCCCCATGTGATCCCCACACACCTGCCTCCCACCCCCGTACCTCCCACCATGAGTGGAAGCTCCCTGAAGCCCTCACCAGAAGCATGTTCTGGCACCAGGTTTCTTGGATAACCTGCAGAGCCATGAGCCTAATACACCTCTTCTCTTTATAAATTATCCTGCTTCAGGTCTTCCTTTATGGCAATGCAAATGGACTGAGAGGCAAAGAGCTTGACTTTGGATTGGTTTCTTTTTAGGCATATGTCAGAAGCCAGTGGCCAATACTCAGGCAGACAATTCCAAAGCTCAGGAGGTAGATTTGGGTGGGAGACACATGGGTCAGGTATGGCATATTTGATTTCTGCCCCCAGTTCCTGGCATAGAGGATCTAAAACCCTTGTAACATCATGAGTGTTATGTGTAATCAGAGAATCTTTTGTCCAAAATATTTCATCTTATCCCCCAGTTCCTGACACAAGAGCTGTGAAGTCCCTTTGAATCTCAGAGTGATAAGACTATCTTTCTTCTGCTCAAAAGATGTCTGCTGATGGTTGAAAGTCCCTAGATAGCTTCAGGATGAAGGCTGGTGACCTGAGGAACCAGCCATGTGATTAGAGCAATGGTCCTCAGCCTTCCTAATGCCATGGCCCTTTCATGCAGTTCCTGTGGGTCGAGATCCACAGGTTGAGAACCACTGGATTTGAGGGTTAGAACTTTCAGTCCCCAGGGAGGGGAGAATGCCTGGAGATTGAGTTCCATCACCAATGGCCAGCCACTTAATCTATCATGTGTGTGTAATGGAATCCCCATAATAACCCTGGGATTCAAAGAGTCTCCAGGTTGGCAAATTCATCCACAAGCCAAGAATGTGGCACCCTACTCCTGGGGACAGAAGCTCCTGCACCCTGAGTCCTTCTATACCTCCCCTATTTACCCCTTCATGTGGCTGTTCACATGCACACCTTATAATGCACATAAAACAGTCAGTGAACATAAAGCATTTCTCTGAGTCCTGTGAGCCATTCTAGCAAATTATCAAACATGGGGGGGGTGTCACAGGAAGCCTTGATGTGTAGCCAAGCTGGACAGGAGTGTGGGTAAGGTGGATGCCCACTATTTATGGCTGATATCTTGAGTGAGGGAAATGGATTTTCCATCCTGAGCCCTTGGCTTACTTTTTTTTGAACCTCAAAGTAGCAATATATTTATTTACAAAATATACAGTTTAACAGAAACAGTTTCACTTTATACACATAAACCTTAAAATTACACAGAACCATGTAAACGAGCACCTGAGCAGCTCGAGGTAGTGAGCGCCAGAACTGAATTGCAGGACCCCCTGTTGGGGTCTGGAGAGTTGGAGAATTGGTCAGCGTGGGAAATCTCCCTTACTCTACTCCTCTGGTGTCAGAAGTATAGGTTTTAGAGCAGTTATTTTCAGCCTTTGTGCTGTGGCACACTGTTGTGTCATGAGAGGATTTTAGATGTGCCAGAAAATTTTCTTTAAAAATTTTTTAAAGATCATTAATTAATTTTTTTTGAAAGAGGTTCAAAGCACAGTAAATATATTCTTTTTTTGTTCTTTTTTTTAAATCAACATAATTTAAGTTGCTGTAGAAGTTTAACTATAGATTCAAATGTGCCGTGTGATAAAAAAACGTTTTAAAAACACTGTTGTAGAGAAACAGGTTTTTCTTTGAGGAGACAAATGCAACTCAGGTCCTTAGAGTGGAGGCAGTTTACCCAGGGAGAGTTAAAGAGGAGGAGAGAGAGCAGAAAATGCAGGAGTGGTGGATGGGTGAGAAGTTGGGGAAGGAGGGGTCTGCAGTCAGTGCAAGAAGTGGGGGTGGTGTCCCAGAAGCCTAGGGGAGGGGTTGTTAAGCTTGGAGTTTGGGGCCGAATGAGGTCTTAAAGCCACTGGTGCTGAGATGCCTGTGCTCAAGTCAGGCCTGATCAGTCATTTTCCAGCTCTCAGGTCACCAACAAGGAAGAGGATGTCACAGGCAAGCAGGAGAGTGGCTTCAAGGAGGCCCAGGAGGAGATGGTTCCTGAAGCCAGAAGGAGGAGGACACAGTTGTGAGCTCCTCTCTAGAGAAAGGGGGTAATGGAAGGGAGAGGAGGGAATAGGAGGCTCTGTTCTCACCTCTTGGACTGAAGGAAGAGCTGACATCTACTAAGTAGCTGTTACATGCCAGGTTTGTGAATATTTTCAACAAGCCTGCAAAATGACTCTCACTATACCTCCAGGGAGAGAGAATTGGGGTCAGAAGAGTTTTAGCTGCTTGCTAAATGTCATCCAGAAAGAAAATGATGAATTCAGGTCCATCTGACTCCGACACCCATCCTTTTTCTAACACATTCATTCATTTGATCAATAGCTTCTAATTGAAAACTTACTACATGCACACAATTCATCTCTTAGGTCGTCACAGGGAAGAAATGAAACACCACTCCACCCTCATGAGGCTACATGGAGTCAGGATCAATCCATTCTTGTACATGATGATTTTCTTGCAGTTGGAATAAATGTTAGAAAGGGAAGGAGCAGAGAGTCCTCTGAGCACATAGCAGAAAGCCTGTTCAGCCTGAGAGGCTAGAAAAAACTCTCCTCAGGAAAGGCACAGTTAAGGCAGCGCCTCAAGGGTGAGGGGAGTAGTCCCCGGGCCAGGGTCTCCAAGACCCCCCCTCCCAGTCGAGTAGGCCATGATTCTTCCAGAATGGACAGTGCACACCTCTGTGGGTTCTGTCCTTGTCCTCAGCCTCCCCCTCTCAGACACGGCTGTGCAGCTGTCCTGGTGAGCAGGAACGTCAGTAAATGCGTCCAATAAGACACAGCCAGCCAGGGAAGGTCTTGGCAGGGAAAGGCACTCTTTCCACCTTTTTGGTAGTCCGCTTCCCCTCAGTCATGTGCTTTGAGGATTACAAACACAATTTAGGTTGTGGTTGTTGATGTGGAACTGAAGTTTCATTTCTGAGAAGCAGGCTTAGCCAGAGGACTGCAAATGCTTTACAAAAATGATAGTACCAACCTGAGCAACAATAGTGAGATCTTGTATGTGCAAACTAATAAATAAACAGTAAGCTGGGAATCATAGAATGCACCTGTAGCCAGGAGTTGGAGGCTGCTATGAGCTGTGATGATGCCAATGCATTCCAACCCGGGCCATAGAGCAAGACCTTGTCTCAACAAAAAAGGCAGTATCCAGGAGCGCTAGGACATCTGCCCTCTAGACAAACTGTTCTGCACACTTTTTACTGAACTTATGAAG